CTGCCTTCCGCTCAGGTCATGATCCCAGAGTCCTGGGATCGAGCCCCGCGTCGGGCTCTCTGCTCAGTGGAGAGCCTGCTTCCTCCTCTCTCTCTCTCTGCCTGCTTCTCTGCCTACTTGTGATCTCTGTCAAATAAATAAATAAAATCTTAAAAAAAAAAAAAAAAAGACCCTCCCTCCGGGCCTCTGTATCTGCTAACCCCATCCCAGGGCTTTGCCCAGCACGCTCCGTCCTTGCCAGCCTGCAGAGTGTTTCATGAGGCACACTCCTATGTATCTGTCCCAAGACCCCTGAGGAGATCCAGCAGGGCTCACACATGGCGCTGAGGCACGTGCTCATGGAGCTGGATATGACACCAGGCCCTGGAAGGTGTTGGACGCAGCCTTTCCTCTTTTCCTCCTTTGGTCTGGCTCCTCGCTGTCTGACCTTTACTACTGGCCTTTCCTACTACCGCCTCTCCATCCTCTGTATCTGCTTCCCACGATGTCCTTCCCTTCCACAGCCGCCTTGAAAGGGAAGCCCAAAGAGACCCTCAGGCGTAGCTTACTGAGATTCTGGAGGGAGGATCGGAGGGCGCTGCTTCCGCTGGCCCCGAACCCTGGTCTTCGTTCCGTTCGTGGGTTCTGCGCAGGGCCGGATTCAGCAGGGATCCCGGCTTGCCTTCGTGCACATGAGTTTTGAAAGTAGTTGCACATAGCGGTGCTTGAATTACTAAGACGCTTGAGGACAGTCTTTTGTTGAAATACCCAGAGGAATGGAAGCACGGTTTGATGCCAGCTTCACGGACTCCTTCACATCCTCAAGTGGGCATTAAGCAGATTAACAGTTGACTGTGAAAACCTTCATCCCTCCTGTTGCTGGCCCAGAAGGTCCGAACTAACCACTGTGTCAATATCTAGCTTGGTTGAGGATGTGTTGGGCCTGAGGATAGGTCTTAAACCCCTGATGTCCATCTTGTAAACTCTCTGGGCACATAATTATGTGAACAAATTTAATCAACAAGAATTTACCCTGATCTTCAGCTGGCAAAGAAATTAGCAAAGGCCCCTTCCTCCTCCCTTCTCCCCTCCCAACACACACACAGGCGGCTGGACTCCCAGCCTCCAGGCTCTGGGCCTTGTTTGGAAGCTGGGTGGGTGGGAGGACCCGGGGAGGCTGCCCTGGCACTCACCCTCGGGAAGCCTGAGCACACCCACTCCTGTATCCTGGGCATGCATTTCCTTTGGTTCTTCCCTTGCATGCTCTGGGATCCCAAAGGCTCTAATTAGAAGCCTACGGGTTGGTTTCGGGGCTTTGTGGGGCGGTGGGGGGGGGGTGGAGGTATTTCTTCTTACCATCATCATTTTCTTCCCTTTCCATCTGGTTTTTCGCTTTTTCTCCAGTAAGTCCCGTGGGTCCTCTCACCTTCCTCTCCCCTTTCCCGAAAAGCCAGTGGGCTGCAAGGGGATGGCAGGGCGCCTTCCCCCCCAGCTGCTCTGCCCCATCACCCTTGCCGGCACAGGGCAGGCACTCAGCGAGTGCTTGTGCCACGGCGGAATGTTCTGTGCGTCCGCGCATTTCCCGTGCATTGCCCGTGCGCCCCGCTGCAGCCCGCAGGTGGACCGGGGAGCTCGAGTTAGCTGCGGGCTCGCACGATTCCGCCGCAGTATCCCCGCCCCCTAGTTCTTCGGACTCCCGTGGGTGTCCAGTGGAATTCAAACCCTCCCTAAGATTTGTGTCCGATCCAGGGGGGAAGGTGGGCCGGATATTCTCGCGCTCGGTGGCCTTCCATCTGTTCAGCCTCATGCTGACCCAAACTGGAAGGCGGCCCCCTGCTCGGTGTCTGTGTCCCCACTGCTCGCATTCAGACCATCCGCTCCCCGCGCAGTGACGATCCGGAAGGCTCACGTCACACTCCTGGCCGCTGTACCTTTGGCCTTGTGGCTCCTGGAAGTTCCTGTGCCCCCGCCCACTGCTGAGGTCTCCCTTCGGCTCTTGACCCGGCACCATCCTCGCCCTTCTTGCTGACTCTTCTCCCCTCCTCTTTTGCCTCTTTCTGCAGGGGATAAAAATTCAAAACGTGTTCTCAGGCAGAGAAGCTGAGTCGTATCGTGGTGACTGGGGCTCCTGACTCCAGATTTCTGGGTTCTCACCTTGTCTCTCTAACAGCTCATCCGTTAGCCTCCTTTTCCTAAGTGAACGTGGAACTGCCCTCTCCGGGTGAGCTGTCAAACGCGAACACAAAAAATTGCCTGGCCCATATGTGAACATGACAGAGGAGCTAAATATACCTCATAATCACAGGTGCACAAGCCTCTTTTGACTTAACTCAGCATTTCATATGATTAAGACACATATGCTGGTTTATGAGTAGATGGTCTCTGGAAAGAAATGGAAGAAGCTGGTGTTGGTGGAGACCTCCAGGGAAGGGAGCCAAATACAAGGGGACACAGGGGAGATGAAGACTTTCTTCTGTATTTCCTCTATTTAAAACACATTGACATCATACCTATTTAATGCCAGTAAAGAAGTTACAGGTATCCTGATGTGCTGGTCACACCAGCGTGATCATATCCAGTGACCCTAAGCCGTATGCGACATGGGGACAGTTGATATCTACACTTGATGGATTAGGCTTAGCGCCCTGTTCTGGAGAATTTGCCACTCACTAGACACCTCAGTTCTTTCCCTTAGGATTTCCTTGTTGGAACGAGCTGAGCTTCTCAGTACACAGTCCTGACTTGCCAAGTGTTCAGGTTCCATCGTCTGGATGAGGAGCCCCAAAACTCCTATAGACATATCCCAAAGACACGTCTTACCTTGACGAATATTACAAAATATTCCTCCTAAGAGGAAGTAAATTTTAAATACACTTCAAGTTTTAAAAGTACACCTGATGGGGGGAAAAACACATCGGTTGGAACAGAGAGGTAATAACTATGAATGCTTACTGCTGTATATTGAAGCACGTTAATTATGAGTTCACAAACCATACAAACAAGCAAAAAAATCTCATTGGTTTTTCGGAGGGATGCTAGGGAACCAACTATTGTTTTGAAAACAGATATACTAGAATTTATCCTGCTTACCTGTATAAATTGTACTACACGTTAACCCGAATAGTTGATAAGGGAAAGTTTCTCTTTGTGCAAGACTTCAAGGTAAATAAATGAATAAGGAGTAGTAGAATTTGAATAGCCCCATTTTTAAAACCCTATTTATCCAGGTAACCACCATCAGTGACTTCTGATAATCGTAAAAAAATAGAGACGCCCTTTGTATTTCCTACAAATTTGTTATGAGATGTAAGAATTTGAATACATTCAGGTTTGGTTTTTTTCTAAGAGGAATATTTATAACTGCGTTGGGTCATTGTATGTCTGCTAGTGGAAGTAGATAACATAAGGTACCCTTGCTGAAATATAAACAAATCTAATCAGATTTATATATCTCACACCATATTCATAGGAAAATTTAAAGAATGGGTTAAATAATACCATGCAGTACAATCAGCAAAGTTAAAACCTTGGACAACTTAACAGAACAAACAACCTGCTTTTTTCAACAAATGAGTTGCAAACAGGGTGTGGAGAGATAAAAACAGATTTCCTAGACAATCAACCAACTGCAGTGGCCGGACTTACTTAGATCCTGGCCCAAACAAACTGTTAACAAATACATAGGGAACAAATACGTAGGGAAATTTGAACATTGAGTAGATACCTGATAATATTAAATTATTGTTAATGTTTTTAGGTATTCTAGTAATACTATGTAATACTATGGTAGTAAAAGTATAAAGTAATACTATGTAATATAAAGTAATACTATGTAATACATAGTAATACTATGGTTATAGTCCCAACAAAGTCGTTATCTTTGCGAGATATGTATTGAAGTATTGATGGTTGAAATGAAAATTTAAAAATACCTCACATCTACACTTATATATACATGAAAATCTGTGAAAGGATATGCAGCTGACCCTTGTGCAATGGAGGGGAGAGTTGGGGTGCCCACCCCCTACGCAGTCTGAAGTCTGTGTATAACCTTTTGACTCCCCCAAAACTTAACTTACAGCCTCTTACTGACCAGAAGCCTTACTAATACCATAAAGGGTCCATTCACACATCTCATATGTTATATGTAATACATAGTATATTCTTACAATAAAGGAAGCTAGAGAAGCAAAAATGTTATTGCAAAAATCATAAGGAGAATACACTTGCGGTATTGTATTGTGTTTACCCAAAACAACACGCGTGTAAGAGGACCTGCAGAGTTCAAGGTGTTGTTCAAGAGTCACCTGGATGAGGGGATTCTGATGCTGTGTTCTGTTGTGAGGGGAACTAGGAGTCAGGATGGGAGAGAAGTGAACTATTGGACAGATTATTATTTATGCAAAGAACTAACCAAAAAGTAATATAGTGTGGGGGGAAAAGTTAATTTGAACTTGAAATGCTTCTTTGTGGGAATGAGAACGTATAGAGTTCTATTATAGAACACGTAGATGGATTGATCCAGGCCCTACTTCTCAAAGCAGGTCCCAGGGCCATCTGCATCAGAGATGGGCCCACGTCCCCGCCCCCCAGCCAGTATCTGAGGGAGCAACGCACAGAGGCGTGTGAGAACTACAGGCCTAGATCCCCTGAACCCTGGCTTTTCAAATACTCCTCATGTAGTCGTGGAACTTCAGAATTCATAGGACAAAAATACTGCCAAATTTAAATTCAAAGCAGCACAATTCTGAAAGTCGGAAAAGGCTTTTTTTTTTTTTTTTTAGATTTGCTGACAATGATTTAATCAGCAGATGTCACTATGAAATACTTGGGAGCAACCCTTCCGTGTTGCCTCATTTTTGGAAAGGCAGAGGGTGCTGCTGGCATTGTAACATAGAAATATTTATGGTAATTTTGTATTTTGTTTAATGAAAATAATTTTTCTTGTGCTTCCAGTGCTTATTAAAAGTTTCTCTTTGATTAAGCATTCTTTGCTTTTGTTTCTGTTTTTCCCCTCCCAGCATCATTGACAAAGAAGTTTCATTAATGGCAGAAATGGATAAAGTTAAAGAAGAAGCCAGTAAGTAGACACACGGTTATTTGGTTAGGCACCTCCTAGTCTGAAGCAATCTGTAGGTCCACTGGCAGTGATACGGATTCTGAGAAAGGTCCTAAAATTCACACCGAAATCCTGGTTAATGAGCTCTGGGACCTCGGGCAAGTCACGAAGCCCCTGGAGACCTTGGGAACCTCGTGTGGGCGTGGCCCCAGGAGCACACAGCAGAGCAGGTACTCAGCAAAGAATAGGTGTCCGGCTGAGTTACTTAAAATTGGGGGCGTATAAAGGGGTACTTACAGGTAATTGGGTTTAAAATGACATTGAATTTAGAATTAAATTTTCAAACATCGGTTTTATGCTTTTGCAACTTCCATATCTTGCTATGTGACTTAAAACGATACATTTCCCTTGTTCTTTCTTAGGTTCAGCTACCTCAAGTTTAACACATCACATTCCTCTAAGAAAACTGTCCATTTGAAACTTTACTTAAATTCCCCTTAACATTTTGAATCACATCTTTAAATTAAATGCGTCTGCCTTTTTTTCCGAGAACTTCGGATGCCAGAAAAGGCACACTCACCAGCCTAAAAGCAACATGTTCCAAGCTTTTAAACAGCTCTTATAAGTTTAATAATTCAAATGTAGAGATGTACTAAGTGAAGTTTTCTTAAAACACTCCCGGTTCTGTTTACAAACTCAGTCATACCTGCAGCCAGCTTAACGCCTCGCGAGAGAATCAATGACGGGTTTTAAGTTGAAATCACAAATGAGACCATTTAATGTCCCAAATACCCTGTTTAAATAATAAACACCCTCAGACAGTCTTAAAATATTCGTATACCCTGGGTTGGATTTATTGTATTATCTTTATACTTATTTCTAGTTCTCAGTTTGTCCAATGGTCATCAAACTATTCAACAGATAGTAGGACAGATTTAAACTCCCGCCAACAGGCTGGGGTTCATGGGTGCGACATTGTGAGACCAGACTGCTTTGTCAGCGGCAATAGCAAGCCCCAGGTGGGACTGCTAAGCCCTCTCAGGATCAAATGCAGTCCCCTGTCATTGATGAGAACCCTAAAACCACATTTTTCACCTGGGATCTAGTCTTACAATTCTTATCTCCTGTGCATTTTATTTTTTTTTAATTTTTTTAAAAGTTTTTATTTATTTGACTCACAGAGATCACAGGTAGGCAGAGAGGCAGGCAGAGAGAGAGGAGGAAGCAGGCTCCCTGCTGAGCAGAGAGCCTGTCGAGGGGCTCAATCCAGGGGGCTCCATCCCAGGACCCTGAGATCATGACCTGAGCCGAAGGCAGAGGCTTTAACCCACTGAGCCACCCAGGCGCCCCTCTCCTGTGCATTTTAAATTCTTTATCCTTACCCAGATTTTTCCTCACTAACTAGATGAGTGGCTCTGCACCCCAAGAACCTAATTCCTTCCCCTTCAACAGCGGTGCCTTTCTTTTTACCAGAATGAAGGGTCCGACCAAATTCTTCATTCTTTTTCTATTTTTCTTGTCTGGCCCTTGGTCGTAATTCAGTAGTCACTTTATGAAAAGTAACAATTGGTATTTTCGTTACACAACTTTTTAAAAATGATTTTAAGCAACGTCCGAGAATTTCAAATAACAGCAAGTTTTATGAAATAAAACGAAATGTGATCCAGGGTTCAGCTGTGGAATATTTAGGCAGTTACACAATCCCTTTGAATGTGAAATTATTTTATTTTATAAAATGTTTTTATTTTATAAAATAAATATTATTTTATTCTTATGAAGTTTGTTGATTTCTTCAGTCAAAGTGCTTTCCACATGATCCGGGACTTCCCACATTTCTTAGATACAGCTTATTCTTTCTTGTTAGTTTCATGTCCTATTGATAACAATGTAAGCAGCCGACACAGACACAAAAGGGTCTCTAGCACCAAAATACAAAGTTACTAGCACATCCCCTCCTAAGAGGTTAACAGTAGACCTCAGATATCACATGCTCATTCTATCTTCTTCTCCTTTTTTTTTTTTTTTAAGATTTTACTTGCTTATTTGACAGAGAGAGATCACAAGTAGGCAGAGAGGCAGGCAGAGAGAGGGGGAAGCAGGCTCCCCGCTGAGCAGAGAGCCCGATTCGGGGCTCCATCCCAGGACCCTGAGATCATGACCTGAGCCGAAGGCAGAGGCTTTAACCCACTGGGCCACCCAGGCGCCCCTCATTCTATCTTCTTGAGAGAAAATATAATATTAGGATCCAAGACCTGTGGGATTTGGAGCATCTCTGGAGAGCCTCCCCATTTTAAAAATTCAGTTAATAAACATTTACTGTGCGCTCACGTATATGTTACGCACTATCACAAACCGGGTTTGACAGCAAACAGCAAACTCTGGGACCTGTGCACACGGAGTTCTCAGCGTAGCTAAAAGCGTGAGATTGGTTGGTAGGGTTTGCCTAACTTCATTCAGTCATTGGTGCCAAGGCTTCTAGTTTGAGAACTGCCCAGAGCCCCGGGGAAACCATCTTGCTTGCACTGGGGACAAGCAAGACTGAGTTCCAATCCAGATTCCACCTGTTTACTGGCTGTGTGCCTTCGAGCCATTTTGTTAAGCTCCTCAACATCCACACTTACTTCTCAGAAGAGGTAGAATAAGAATAGTATCATCTCAAATAGTTACTGTAAAGATAAAAGGGGAAAATATATGCCAGGCACTTAGCGCAGTGCCTGACCCAGTATGTGTACAAAAGGGAAAAGCACTCACTAGTGAAGGGGTCAGTCTGGCCTCCTCACATGACCGCCAGAAAATGGAGGCGGACAGAGCTCAGCAGCGTCTCTCAGGTGACACAGGCGTGTCTCCACAGGCAGAGGGAACCACTGGATTTCCCTCCACTAAGAACTGAACTGTCCCTCCAACCGCCGTCTTGAGATGGTTCATCTATGGTCTCCGGAGTACTTTCCACATTTTCTATTTGCTGCCCATGTTACAAACCTTATTCCCTCAGTTATAACCTAAGCCCCTCTGTCCGTCACGGCACCTGATGTAGTGCTGAGAAGATTGTAGGTACTTCATAATATCTGTTAAGTGAATTATTGTAATTAATTCAGTGTCTGTAGGCTGTGGGATCCAATATTAGTAATTGCAAAAAAAAAAAAAAAGGAAGTATATTCTAGATGAACATATCTCACTTTATGAATATTTGAGGTTAGCATTTTTTTTAGTGTATGATACTAAACACGTCACGTAGGTTATTTCATTTAGTTCCACAGTAGCCCTAAAAGTAATATGATTATTACGTTTATAGATGAAGAAGCAAAACATGTTGTAGTGCTGTGGTCTCAGACTCTGTTTGAAGGAACTGAAGACCAAAATAGGTGTGTTCTTGGAGCATCAAATTTATTGGAGATACAGGAAGAAAACATTAACAGGAGCGCAGATCTATTGGGAGGTGAAGGAAGGACTCACAACAGTAAAAGGGTAAAAGAATCAAAGAATCTTCGTGCTTGAAACAAGCTTTGTGTCCCAGCTCCTCCCCCCAGGATTTCAAGCCCACCCTCCGCTAAAGAGTATTATTTGAGAAGCCCTAAAATTTTCCATGGTTCATGCAACAAGAGCCAGCTTCCAGCATGTTCCAAAAACTTGAAGGAATTCATAAATCCTATTGTGAAAATGGATTTCAGCCTACCAGATACTGTTTATAAAAAGTACCTAAATAATATTAATGACGTCCCGAATGCAGTGAAAATGAAAGCTGCATGAAACTGTCTCTCTACAGATTTCCAAAAGGATGTTGCTTTCAAAACATACCTTATTATTCTATTTTAAATTTGAGGATCAATGAATCTTAGGATCTGGTCTGGTTTTGTTTTTGCTTTTCGTTTCTGTGATTGATGTTTTTGAGGTGAAACTGATAGTGTCCCCACAGAATATTGGCTTTAGATCTCCAGTTTTAAGGCTTTTTCATAATGAAAGGCTTTGAGATGTTAATGAGACTGTATGTAAAACTCATCCCAACACTGGATGAGGCAAAAGTATTCATTTTCATACACATTTGCATGCGGGTAAACTCAGAATTTATTGGTGATTTTGCACCTGCATTCCTATTTCAGGACCCATTTATATCTATTTCTACAAAATCTTTTGTGCGAATGCCCAAATTCTTCTCAAAAAGTACAATTATCCCTAATTGTCACCAGTCCCACAAATGATCCATTAAGAAAAGTCAGATCTGTTTAACTGTGTAGTCATTCAGGGTCTGCTGACCCCTTTACTATCGGCTCACCAAGTATAGGCCTTCAGAATTTCTTTTTTTAATCTTTGCAAGAGCAAAACCCTTTGGTTCAACTCCCTGCTTAAGAATCATTTTTTCATGCTACAGACTTAGTCTCATTCCTATGTTGAATTATGGCAAATATATAAATAATCAAAGGTATAAATGTTAAACATGCCTCAGTGGTCCTTCTAGAAAAAGAACTTCTGTCCTTCTTTGTATATTCTTTTTTTTTTTTTCCAAAGACTTTTTTATTTGTTTGAAAGAGAGCTCACTCATGGAAGGGAAGGCCAGAGGGAGAACGAGAGTCTTAAGCAGACTCTGTGCTAAGACCAGAGGCTGACAGGGGGCTCGATCTTATGACCCCAAGATCATGACCTGAGCCAAAACCAAGAGTTGGACACTTAAGCGCCTGCGGCACCCAGGCACCTCACATATTGTTTTAAAATTTTTTAGAAGATTTTATTTATTTATTTGACAGAGAGAGATCACAAGTGGGCAGAGAAGCAGGCAGAGAGAGAGGAAAGGAAGCAGGCTCCCTGCTGAGCAGAGAGCCCCAGGCAGGACTCAATCCCAGGACGCTGAGATCATGACCTGAGCAGAAGGCAGAGGATTTAACCCACTGAGCCACCCAGGCGCCCCCGTATACTGCTTTTAAATAATGGATTGATGCATTCGTTCAGTCCTTCATTCAGCAAATGTACATACTGGGCACCCACTTTGTACCAGGCCCTAGGCATTGTGGACACGAAAAACTGTAAGTGTAGCTTCTGCCATGATTGGAGATGCTTCCAGGGGCCAGGCTGGGATCATGAATGAGCCAGGCAGGGCAGGGAGTGACCACGGCATGATGGGCGCCATCCTCCATCCATAAAGGGTGACAACTCAAGGGTTGCCAGTTGTTGCCACATGTTGGCCAACTGTGGCCAGAAATTCCAGTATTTTAGGAGAAGCCAGAAATCCAGATTCTGAGTGGAATCTCCTAATTTTCAAATGCGGACAATTCATTTATAGAAGTAAAATGTGGACCAAACAAAACATACGTACTCTGTGGCCACACATGAGAGTAGGCCACCTCTGTGTGCCCTCTTGTGTGACTGGGTAACTGGGACATCATTCAGTAATACGGGGTCTGTACTCGGATGGATTCTTTCCACAACCATCATGGGAACTCGTTTTCCACTAGCTCCCCTGTGTTCTGAAAGACTACGGCACACATCAGCTTTCACTCAGCTACATGGGTTTGTAAATGGGAGGCAAGGGGAGTCCTGGTGGGTAATCAGAGCATGATTAGAGGAGTTTAGCCAACAATTAAGCCTTGTGAGTTATAGATTACTGATTCTATCAACATCTCAACATTTGTATCAGCATTAGTGATAATGTTTTTCAGTCTGTCTGCAGAATGGATTATAGTTTGCAGGAAATCTTAACTCTTGATTGCTTTTCAACTTTTCGAGGGGTTTTGAAGTGGCTATTTTTGACATTTATACATTAAGAACCCTTACAGTGAGAAATCATTGTTCGGCTCTGCGTGTATGCTGTGAATCTGGTCTAATAAAGCAGTTGACTTTTGTTCAGAAAAGAAAGGAATGTGACTCCAACATGTGTAGCGTCTTCATTGGGTGGACTTCTTTCTTCTCATAACTCAAAATGCTTGTCCAAAAGAAAGGAAGGCAGTCGTCTGTGACTTCAAATTAGAGAACAAGCTATCTCTCAGAAGAGGAAATTTTGTATTTAAATCTCACTCTATGTGATTAAATCTCACTCTATGTGTTGCTTTTGAGCTAGCTGTAGAATCTTTTGGGAAACATAGACACATGCACACAAATTCACCTGGGGACTGCTACGTCTGCTTGAACCTTCAGGCCATCCGACAGACGTGTGAAATGTGGCACCAGAAAACTCCCTGGTATCTTCTGCGCAGGTGCTAAAGAGGATACACAAATCCAGTCCAAGTGGGTTTTGACTTACCCTGGACATTTTTCCATGGGGGACGCTTAAAACAAGGCACTCTGGGGGCACCTGGATGGCTCAGTGGGTTAAAGCCTCTGCCTTCGGCTCAGGTCATGGTCTCAGGGTCCTGGGATCGAGCCCCGCATCAGGCTCTCTGCTCAGCGGGGAGCCTGCTTCCCTCCTTCTTTCTGCCTGCCTCTCTGCCTATTTGTGATCTCTCTCTGTCAAATAAATAAAATCTTAAAAAAAAAAAAAAGTCACTCTGGTCTAGAAGTTCTCTTTGGTTGCAAAAATGGAAACAGATCTGCAGAGTATCAAAAGCAGAGGCATTTTTTTAGCTCACAAAAAGCTAATAAAATAAAACTTCGACGTCACATTCCAATGATACAGCTAGTGGCTCTCAATGAGTAAGTGGTAAAGTTCAGGAGATCTGATGCTGTTAGAATTTCATAGTCCAGCACATCCAGGAAAATGGTTTTTGCTTAGTGGCCTCCCTATCTTTGCGATATCATTCAGACAGGATTTCACCAAGTGTCTTTTTTTGGTGATAGTGGTTCTGAGTAATGCACAAGTTGCAAAGACTAAATTAAGGAAGTGAGATCAGACAGCAGTGAGGAAAGCAAAGAAGACCGTGGGTGTACAGTGAATCCAAAGGGACTGTATTTGATTCAGGAGTTGGTGGATATGGACATACGGAAGTGATCAGTCCCGAGCACCGAGGGCCAACCCACCTCAGTAACCAACTCGGAAAACCTAGTCATGGTCCAACAGAGCGATCAGTACGTGGAGGGAGAACCAATCCCAAGAAATAGGTCATTTAATATGTTTAGATCGCTGGCCCTAACGCACTATTCTTTCTTATTTGGCAGTGGAAATCCTGACTGCTCGTCAGAAGAAAGCGGAAGAACTAAAGAGACTGACGGATCTGGCCAGTCAGATGGCGGAGATGCAGCTGGCTGAACTCAGGGCAGAAATTAAGGTCAGTTCTAAAATACCACAGCCTGAGCCTGGAGCCAGAGATCTGATCCCCATTACGTTTGTTTTGCATCGATAGAGTGCGGCTCTCTGAGGATCTCATGTAATGCACCCAGCTTTAATGTTCTTTCCCAGTGCTGAGCTAGAGAATACAGAAGGGCAAAGAACCCACTAATCACTGTATTTAAGTCTACTATGGTTTGCAGGGATATATTATTACAGAGGAGAAGTACGAGCTCTTTTCTTAGTCAGTAGAGACTGACCCAAATAAAATGTATTCAACCACAAATTAGAGCTGGAATGGGGGATATTATTTTCGCCATATGTAATTCAGGTGTATGTATATAAGCACTCAGACATGGGAACACACAGCAAGTGTGAACCTGGTAGAACAGTAAGGATGCTAAAGCTTACATAATACACAGCGACTTCTTTCTTGTATCCTCTTCCAGCTGACTTGCCCTTTTATTAAGAAGACCACCCACAGATATGTATTTATTAGATCTCTATAGTGGCAAGCGATAGAAGCTGACCCTGGCTAACCTCAAGAATAAGAGGAAGTTGAAAGAAATTGAGTGCAGCTCACCAAAGTGTGATCGGAGGACTCCAGGCTACACTTGGGCAGAAACCCAGGCAGCCTCCTGGGTGACATAGACAGCTGCAATTACCAGACTCTCTTCAGGGCACCGTTAGAGTGGGGGACCTTCAGATGTCATCAGCCTTTGTGCCACCCCACCCGATTCACGTCCCAAAGAAAGAGATTCTGATTGGCCTCAGCCTGAATCACAGACACCATTGGGCTAAGGGAGGCCTTGACTGACAGACCCACCAACACTGGGGATCTTTGAAACTGCATCGGGATACAGTTATCAGGAGGAGAGAGGTTACCAGAAGGGCAGAAACAAGTGTCTACAACAAAACGGGAACTTACAGTCTCTACATTTTCCATTATCCTCTTCTTTGTCCCCAGTGCCCTGAACATATACACGTATACACATGGGCTCAGCGTCTGCCCAGCTTCTAGGGTCTAGAGTGCTTTGAGGACACAGTTGCTACTCGCTTTCTAAGTAGGACTGTCTGCTCGTCCAGGCATAAAAGTTGTTGGGGTGGCAGAAAGTGGCAAGTGACTTCAGTCCTCTCTGCCCTGGTTAAGCATGAAAGGGAGCCCCTTGGGGATAAGGACCTCCTCTGAGGGTCCTGAGAAGTCCTAATGGTCTTTCCCTTCTCGTCTGGTCTTTGTTGTTGCCAGCCAGTCACTTGCAATGGCCTCCTACCCGGCCTTTCTGCCTCCACTGTCTCCCTCCAGCCTGGTTATCTACCCTAAGACCAGAGTCATAGCCCAGAGCAGATCTGGCTATATATATATATATATATATATATATATATATATATATATTCCAAGCTCTGTGCCCAAGGGAGGAAGGTGAAGTTGCCAGCTCCAGGTCTGTGACATCTGCTTACTTTCCAAGTTTCATTTCTGCCTATCCAGATGCCACTCATCAAAAAATGGTTAACGACACAGGCTTTAGGCTGAAACAGTCCAGCTCCTGTGACCTTGGGTAAATTAAATTCCTCTCAGATTCCTAGAACCTTGATTCCCTCTCTATAAAATAGAGATAATAACAGAACTGACTTCATAATAATGCGATCAGATGAAAATGAGATTATCTGTTAAGAATTTGGTCCATGTCTGGTAAGTGATCAATATATTTCTTTTAATGTTCCAGCACAAATGCTCCCTCTCACGTAACACTTCCCCCATGCCCCTTAGGAGGAAATCATTCTTCCTCTTTTGTATTCCTCAAGCACCTACCACATTCTACCTCATATTGTGGTATCTATTTCCCTTGTCTTGTGGTAAACTCCCTGGCAAATTCAGGAGGGACTGAGTCATAGTTATTTCTGTATTTCTCACTCTGTCATCTACACACAGATCGTAATTTTAAATGCATTGAAAAGTAATCTCTTTCCCACCTCCTTAAACAGCACTTGAAATTCTACCATTCAAGATAATGTTTTCTAGTTACGAAAGGCTTTTTGAGTGTCCTGCTTCCCTGTTAGGATGGGGAAGGATAACGTGTCTTCTTTCAAGAGTGGGTAACACCTTAGCAAGTCATTGGCCAAATTAGAAAGACTGCCAGAATGCAATCCTGCGATCCCAAAATCTGTAATGGGACGGAACACGCTAGAAGGTGGGCGAGGGGTGCTGAGAGTTAAACACGGGAGTCCAGATGCACATTTTGCCCAATCCCAGTCTTCTCCAGGTCTGGGCAGGAGAAAGGCAAGACCCTCACAGAGTCCCGAAAGGAGAAGGTGATGGATGTTTGTCCAGGCAGGTCAGACCCGGCCTGGTTTGACGGAGCCTCCCAGGGGCAGAGCTGACATGCCCGGCCTCCTGGTTAGCAGGGACAGGGGCCGCTGAAGGGCAGAGCAAATGAATCCGCGGAGTGCCTGGGTCACTCCTGTAACCGGGGGCTCTTGTCTCCTCCAGCACTTCGTCAGCGAGCGGAAGTACGACGAAGAGCTTGGGAGAGCCGCCCGGTTCTCCTGCGACATCGAGCAGCTAAAGGCCCAGATCATGCTCTGCGGAGAAAGTGAGTTTTGCGTACTTGCTCAATAATTCCGTGTGAGTTAAGCTTGGTGCTATTTGGAGTTGATACCGGAAATGTCAGGTGTGCGGTCCCCCAGGGGGCTTAAAGCGAGGTCTAAAGAGATTTAATGATCTAAGGTCACGACACAAGTCACTAGAAATGTCAAGATTTGAACTTAGAGTCTTCAAATGCCACTGCCCGTCCGTAAATCCCCGGGATTTATGAAGCAGAGCAGAACGGGTCAGCTAGTCTGTATCTTTTGCAAACTTTTCTTAAGCACCGGCGGATAAACTGCCTTTCTGATTTCCAACAGCCTGGTTCCACAGAGACCTGTTACCCTGAGAGCCGGGCTCCCTAACAGGTCTGGGGACAATTGGCTCTGGTCATAAAGGGCCCAGCTGTTGTCTGTGAACGGCTCCCGGTGCCCTGAGTCTCTCCCCCTGCTCAGTTCTGTGTGCTTGCCGGGGGAGGTCTGCAGATAATGAGGGACTTCACTTCAACCATTAGCTTTAGGCTTGTTCGCTATTAAGCCTTAATTAGAGCAGTTAATGTGCAACAAAATTGGCTGATCTTTTTTTCTCCTACTCCAGCCCACCCATGGGGGCGGGTGGGGACGGGAATGAACAGTGAGATGGCATTAAGGATGGGAACAAGGAGGAAAGGAAGGACTGGAGAGGGACGTGAATTCCCCACAACCTCAGAGTCAGCTGGAAATTTGCAACGTGGCTGCACTTTTGTTTTCAAAGTCAAAAGTGCTTTTTCCCCCCCAAGTATAAAAAAATAGAAGCTTGATCTAAAAATTAGAGAACTGTATTAAATAGAACATGCCCTTACTTTTATGTATCCCTCACACTTTTTATGCACGTTTCATTTGTGTTAAGTCAACTATTACATCTCTCATGATACTGTATAATTTATTATACTATACTACAGAATACAAAGTAATTGATTCATTTTTATCATTTCACAACATATGGTTGAGATTTTTCCATGTCAACGTATTTAACTCATAATTTATATGAATATAATTGACACAACCAGTCCCCTAATTGTGGACCAGTTGCTACCAACTTTTTCACCGTTACAATAACACCACTGTGAGCATCCTCGTTCACGTACCTTTGGCAGTTATCTGATTTTCTGACTGAATGTCTTTTTTATTTTTTTTACGATTTTATTTTTGAGTAATCTTTACAGACAACATGGGCTTGAACTCAACCCCAAGATCAAGAGTCACACGCTGTACCAACTGAGCCATCCGGGAACCCCCCACCCCATGCATTTCTTTTCAATTATTTTCCTTTTTTTTTTTTCTATGTTCCCTCCCTCGTGTCATAATGTACCCATTTATCATTCCCTACCCCCGCATTTGCCCCATCTGAAAAACAAACGAGCGGGTTCACAGTTGGCCGTTCAACTGTCCGTGCAAGTTTCCACTTCAGCCCGTTGATGAGTGAGACCCTGAGGCCAAGTGACTGTCCCCATCTGAGGAGGGATGGTTGGTACAGCTTCTCCCCCTTTCCTCCAGAGCACTTCCAGGGCCGGCTCGTGGGAGGAACCATCCCGTACCAAACAGCAAGTGTCCACACGAGAGACAGCCTCCCCTGTCGCAGCCAGTAGTCGTCCAACAGAGGACTCCTTCCAGCTCAGCTTTGTTGAGAACACACTGGAAACCCACAGCTAATGAACCAGAGTCATCCCTGAGCTGTAGGAAATAATGACCACCCTCCACCCCCCTGAAACTGTATCTAGTGAACACAAGAGCCACTGAAATCCCCTGGTCATGTTGGGACAGTCCCCAATGGGCTGTCACAGCTTACTTACAAATAAGGGGACTAGAGATGCATCCCTGTCCTTCCCATTTCTAATGTTCTGTGATCCCTACTAGTCACTGCTGATCCTCTGGAAAAACCCAAGGATGAAGTCCGATCCAACACAGGTAGCAGAAAACGTTGCTTTTAAAAAATTGTCGACAATTTTAAGATTCAAAGGTCTGATTGTCCAGCATGGCAGTCAAATTCTGGTGAACGGTGAGAGGGAGGTCGAAACTTCATCCTTGAGCGGTTCCCTCAGCCCTGACTCAACGTCATCACACAGAAATCATTCCAGCCCAAACCACCTCATTCAAAACCGGCGGGGCTGGGGATCACGAACATTGAAGAGCCCAGCCTGCTGGGATCTGTGTGATGAGGCACACTGACTTGAGCTTTGACTCGGTACCCACCTGCAGATGAGCTGTAGAAAATGGCATCGGGAAAGAGGCCGGATCATGTGGCTCTCCTGGGATATGAACAGTGCTTTAGGGCCTGTTTGGGCCGGCAGGCCTGGTTCCTTCGTCGTAGAATGTGCATGACCCAGGGTGACAAAATTCCTGACACCCAGCAGAACATCCACCTGTCCACATGCCTCCTGCTCCTCCTGTGTCTCTGCAGCCCCCACTGGTCTAGCGAGCGGACGGCAGGCCCGGGCTTGGGAACAGGGAAGCCGAGAGGCAGAACACCCTTGTGCACAGGCGCGAGAGGGTACTTCGAGACTCTGCTGTCTCTCTTCCTTCTGCGGTTCCTAACCTAAGGAATAACACTATAGTCGCTCAGATATGTCTTCTTGCCGACAAGTGTTTCCCAATTTGTGTGATGATGCTGTCATCACTGTCCAGTGACTCTCACAGAACCTTGCTGGTCTCCCAAACATGAAAGTGCCCTTTCAGATGACATCTTTAAATATATATACATATACATATACATATACATATACATGCTTTTGAAACTCCTGTGTGTGTATATACATATATGTATGTGTGTGTGTGTGTATATATATATTTTAAAGATTGTATTTATTTATTTGACAGACAGAGATCACAAGTAGGCAGAGAGGCAGGTGGGTGGGAGGGAGCAGGCTCCCTGCTGAGCAGAGAGCCCGATGTGGGCCTTGATCCCAGGACCCCGAGATCATGACCTGAGCTGAGCCGAAAGCAGAGGCTTAACCCACTGAGCCACCCAGGCACCGCATATATATATATATACATATATAT